ATTGTTAGAGGTTCTGTTATCTAATTTAATCATTGTTAGAGGTTCTGTTATCTAATTTAATCATTGTTAGAGGTACTGTTATCTAATTTAATCATTGTTAGAGGTTCTGTTATCTAATTTAATCATTGTTAGAGGTTCTATTATATAATTTAATCATTGTTAGAGGTTCTGTTATATAATTTAATCATTGTTAGAGGTTCTGTTATCTAATCCAATCATTGTTAGAGGTTCTGTTGTATAATTTAATCATTGTTAGAGGTTCTGTTATCTAATTTAATCATTGTTAGAGGTACTGTTATCTAATCTAATCATTGTTAGAGGTTCTGTTATCTAATTTAATCATTGTTAGAGGTACTGTTATCTAATCTAATCATTGTTAGAGGTTCTGTTATATAATTTAATCATTGCTACGTAAACATGAAATGAAATAATTTTAAGAATTTTAATGCACATAAAAAAATTCTAATTAGAGGTTCTCTTATCTAATTTAATCATCGTTTAAAGCCTATTGTGGGCTAAACACATTGCAATAGAGTAAATGAACAAAATATCCTTGTCACCATGATTTGGGTAAATGTGGGTTATTCCAAGTGATATAAAAGAACATACACCATATGACAATACAACAGGACTAAGAAACGTGATGCTGAATCTTCACATCAGAATTCAGGTGTCTCTCACACCCCTCTCAGTTGAGTAACAACATAGTTTAGTTTCCACAGGTGTACATTAACATTAAACATCCAAATTTTCAAACTAAAGGAATTAATTTAGAGATTGCGCTAGAGTTCAGATGTTTCTTCTTACATTCCTCCGAATCTGTTCAGAGTGAGTTTTTTCATCATCTTCCTTCGCGCATCTTTTCGTAGGTGGAGACTATCGGTGACGCTTACATGGTTGTGTCAGGACTTCCTGTCTCGAACGGAAATGAACACGCCCGGGAGATTGCACGCATGTCCCTAACGCTCAGAGAAGCCATCCGGAATTTTAAAATCCGCCATCGTCCAGAACGAACAATGCAAATCAGGATAGGAATGCACACTGGTGAGATCTGATCGTAAATACTTTACTTCTATCCAATATTATTTGTTTTTCCACGATATATTGGCGTTAATACAATCTATCTAATATCTACAAAAGCCAGTTGTCTTTTGGTAACGCTGGGTTCGTCTGTGTCGCTTAGCAACAAAACTTGATATTCTTGTCTTAAGTATGTATATGATACCTCCAGCGTTCACGACGGCTGACTTGAATTCCCCTTTGTTAGATCGTTTTACGTTTTAGTTTATACACATACTTAGCTTAAAATAGACAGTTCGAAGTTCTTGACAAATTTTAAAAACATATACGTTAGTGACCATAATTCGTATGTTTTTATTGGGTTTTGTGAAGGTTTTCAGTTTTATAATTACTTTTTTGGAAAAAAAGTCTTTTTTTATTTATTTCTCCCAAACGAATTGCCGTTAATCTTAACTAATGATGACACTTGAAATATTTAGTAAGACTCTCCCCCAGTGGCACAGCGGAATGTCTGCGGACTTATACCGCTAGAAACAGTATCGAGATGGACAGAGCACAGATAGTCCTTTGTGTAGCTTTGTGCTTAATAACAAACAGGCCCGGCATGGACAGGTGGTTAGGGCGCTCGACTCGCAATCTGAAGGTCGCGGGTTCGAATCCCCGTCACACCAAACATGCTCGCCCTTTCAGCCGTGGGGGCGTTATAATGTGACGGTCAATCCCACTATTCGTTGGTAAAAGAGTAGCCCAAGAGTTGGCGGTGGGTGGTGATGACTAGCTGCCGTCCCTCTAGTCTTACACTGCTAAATTAGGGACAGTTAGCGCAGATAGCCCTCGTGTAGCTTTGTGCGAAATTCAAAAACAAACAAACAACAACGGTCAAGACTAGTATTAATTATAACTAAATTTACAATTATAAAACAATGACTATGATAAACATAACAAAGTAAGCCACAATGTCGTCAAGAAATTAATGTCGCTTTTTTTTAGATGAAAAAACCCGAACAACTTATGTATCAAAACAAAACATTTATTAA